CCAGCAACCTACGTATATGTAGTTATTCCATTTTTTTATATGACTATCAAACAGAGAGATAGGAATTATCTATGCTCAAATATAGAGACATTACTGATCTAGAGACACGGTAGTGTCTTGGCGCTAAGCCCAATGTCATAGTATATTTATACGTGTATGTTATATGTTAAATTGTATGTGTTTTATAATATGTCAATAAACATATATTATTAAAAATTACTGCTGCTGGGATATTCATGCAGATATTTTCCATATCCATTTTTATGCATTAGAATTTTATATTATAATATATAATGAGTTGTGACGTGACGTTTTCCGTCCGTCACAAGGATCGTAAGACCCGACCGAATAGTGCAGCTCTGATGTCCTGAGTCCTTCCGCGTTTTTAGAAGGCGGACACACCTGCGCATTTTGATGACGTCGTTTTGTATATTTCACGTCTGTTGCATTCTGTGTACGATGTCGTATACGTCTCGCGTATTCTCATTGTGAATACACATTATACAATGTATGTACATAAAATTTTAATATTGCGTATAAATAGATAATATCTACATGGCTATCTCAACATGAGAAACTTTTCTATCTATTTATATAACGCGCGCGCGCGCGCGCGTGTGTGTATGTGTGTGTATTTTCATATAGTATAATATACATACAATTTTCTATATTGAATATATAGGACTTCCGGTCGAGGTGAGTTACAGAGAAGACATATTCTGCGCACTTCGTGAGGAAAATTAAAGTTTTCGTAGCTGTAGAGGAATTGCCCTGCGGGGAGTTTTTTGTTATAGAGACGAGAGTCGTTAAATCGAGAGCTAGGCAAAAAAGTAGCTCGCTCCATCAGGAAGCGGGCTAATTGTGAAAAAAGAAGACGGACCAAGGGGAACCTAACCTTCAACTGTCATAGCTCCAACCGAGAACATCGTAATCCAGGTGGCCTGAAAGCCTGTATTGGGTGCATAAGAGAAGGAGTGGACAAAAGGTGCATTGGGTGAGCCTTGCATAAGGCGGAAGGTAAAAAGTAATTAGGCCCGGCGCACGTGGCAGAAAAACCGAGGTGCGCAAGTGCGAAGCAAAGGGAAGTGACGGAAGAAAAGGAGGGAAGAGGCGCGGTGAGAGTCGGAGAAGAATAAGCAGGGATAGAACGTCACGAAGCGCGAGAGTGTCTCGGGAGAATGGGCGAGAGTTTGGAGAAAGAGAGAGAAGGAACCTTCCTAGCCACGGAAGAGTCTAGTAGTAGCCGAGCGGAAAGGTGGGTACAGTCAGGGGAGGAGTGGGGAACAAGATCGAAGGACGGTGAACGTCAGAGGCGAAATACGAGTGGAGAGAAGGGAGCGGGGAAGAGAAGAAGACCCACGAAAGCGGAGCTGCTAGGAAGGGAAAGGAGGGATAGCAGTGTAGCGAGCATTCCAAGCTCGTGGTTCTCGAGAAGGGGCAGAGCGCGTGAGTCGGAAGACAGTGAAGGCGAACAGCAAGCCGCGAAACGAAAGAAGGAAGGAAAGGCAGGAAAATCGCCAGAACAGCAGGGAGATTCAGAGGAGAAGAAAATGGCGAATTTAGAGGAGATAGAAAAAATGATGGAGAGACAACTGCAGCGGCATAAGGATGATATGATGAAGATGATAAGAAGAGAATTAAAAGAAGAGATGAAGCAAATAAAATCAGAATTTGAGAAATTTAAGGAGGAGGAAAGGGAAAAGATGGAGAAGTTGAAAGAAGAAAATGCAGATTTGAAGAAAAGAGTGGAAGAAATAGAAAAAAGAAGAGATGATCAAGAAAGAAGAGATAGAAGACTAAATGTAGTTATGCGGGGTGTAGAGGTAGAGGGGGGAAATATGAAAGATGCTGCTGTAGGGGTTTTGAAAAAATTAGGGGGGTTAGATAAAGAAATTAAAATAAGAGAAGTTTACAAGATAGGGAATAGAATGAATGATAGAATGAATGATAGAACGAATGAGAGTGTGCTGCTTGTGAAACTTAATAGTTTGGATGATAAAAAGGAGATCATGATTAGGAGAAATAAATTGACAGGTACGAAAATATATGTAGACGATGATCTAACGAAGGATGAAAGAGAAAGACAGAAGGAGATTAGATTTTGGGCGAAGAGAGAGAAAGAGAGAGGTAGGCGAGTAAAAGTGGGCTTTGGGAAAGCGTGGATGAATGGTAAAGAATATGTGTGGAGTGAAGAGCGCAAGTGTATGAATGAAAAGATTTTTTAAGCAAGCGTGCTCACAATTGGGTTAAAAAGAGAAAGGGGGGGAAACAGAAGGGAAAAGCAACGGAAGAGGGAGAGAAACGAAGTATAAAAGGGGTATTCTGGAACATCGCAGGATTAAAGAGAAAAGACGAAGATTTTTGGGATTTTCTGAAAGATTTCGATGTGATTGGTTTGAGTGAGACATGGGTGGAAGAAGCTGGGTGGGGGAAGATAAAAGAAAAAATGCCAGATGGGTGGAGATGGAAATGTCAGCCAGCGAGGAGGGAAAAGAAAAGAGGGAGAGCGATGGGAGGGATAATAACGGGGATAAGGAAGGAAATAGAGGAAAGAAGTAGAAGTGAAGAGGAAGTAGAGGGGATACAGCAGAGAGAGGTTGTTGTAGATGAGGAGAGGTGGAGAATTGTTACAGTATATAACAAAGAGGGAAGTAAGGAAGAATTAGATAGATTAAAAGAGATGATAGGAGAGAGGGAAGAAGAAAATATGATAATAGTAGGAGACTTTAACGCAAGAATTGGTAAGGAAGGGGGTTTTTGTGACCAAAATGGCGAAGAAAAAGGAGAAAATGGCAAAGAACGGAGATCGAAAGATGGAGTGGTAAACAAACAAGGGTGTGAGCTGGTGAAGGTAGTGGGAGAAAGAGGGTGGTTGATACTGAATGGGTGGAAAAAAGGGGATGAAGAAGGAGAGTGGACGTATGAAAAAGCGGGAGGGAAATCAGTGATAGATTATGGAATTGTAAATCTGGAGGCAGAAGAGAAAATTAGATGTTTTGAAATAGGATGCAGGGCAGAATCAGATCACCAGCCAATATTGATAGAGTTAGGAAAGGAATATACAAGGCAGGAGAAGGAAAAAGAGAGCGAGGCAGAGATGATACAGGATTGGTCAGAGGAGGGCATAGAAATATTTAGGAAAAATATAGAGGAAGTAGAGTGGGAAAAAGGAGAGGGGGGAGGACGATGGGAAGAAATGGAAGAAGTAATGAAAAGAGCACCTAAAATGAAGAGGAAGGGGGGAAGGAAAGAGGTAGGATGGGTACCATGGTGGGATAGAGAGTGTAGGGAGAAAAAGAGAGAGGTTAATAGGGCGGGGAGAAGATATAGGAGAAGGAAGTCGGGATATGAGGAATTTGTGAAAAAAAGAAGGGAATATAGGGATATATGTGAAAAGAAAGAAGTAGAGCATAAGAAGCTTGAGGAGAGAGAGATAGAAAAGATTACAACAGAAGCACAGGCATGGGAATTTATAAATAGGAGAAGGAAGAAAAAGGAGGGAATAAGTAAGGAAATTAAAAGGACGGAGTGGGTAGAGTATTTTAAGACGGCATTAGAGGGAGTTGACGAGAAAACGGCAGAAATAGGAGAAAGACGGAATGAATTTAGAAAAGACGAAGGGATAAGTCGGGAGGAAATAAGATTAGAAATAAAAAGATTAAAGAAGGGTAAGGCGGCAGGGATAGATGGGATAAGAAATGAAGCATGGATGATGGGGGGAGATAAAGTAAGTGTAAAGTTAGAGGAAATTTATAGAAAGATTTGGGAAGGAGAGGGATTCCCAGAAAAATGGAGAATAGGAGTGATAGTTCCGATATGGAAAAAAGGGGATAAAAATGTGGTAGGGAATTACAGGGGTGTCACGCTTACAAGCACTGCGTATAAGATATATGCGAACATTCTAAATAAAAAGTTGGTGAAAGAGCTAGACGAGAAAGGAGGATGGGGCAGAACGCAGGCAGGATTTAGAAAAGGAAGAGGAACAATAGAAAACATAAAGATCTTAAAACACCTAGTAGGAAGAAGACTAAAGGAGAAGAAGAAGGTGTGGGCATTTTTTATGGACCTAAAAGGAGCGTTTGATAAAATAGATAGGAAGGTATTATGGGAAATGATGAGGAGAAGGGGTATCAGTGATGTACTGATAGAAAGAGTAAAAGAAATATATGAGGAGACAAGATGCGTGGTAAGGATAGGGGGGGAAGTCTCAAAGGAATTTTGGGTAAAAAAGGGGGTAAGACAGGGGTGTCCTTTGAGTCCAACTCTGTTTAATATATATATCGCGGATTTAGAGGAGGATTTAAGAAATGGAATAGGAGGAGTAAGAGTGGGAGGCGATAAGGTGTGGTCGCTAGAATATGCTGACGACATTGTGGTAGTGGCGGAAGAAGAAGTAGGCTTAAGGGCGATGATAAGAGGGCTACAAAGGTATTTAAAAGAGAAGAAACTAGAGCTGAGCCCTGAAAAGTCGAAAGTTATGGTGTTTAGAAAGAAAGGGGGAAGGGAGAAAGAAAGGTACTGGTGGTGGGGAAAGGAAAGACTAGAGGAGGTAAAGGAATATAAATATCTAGGATATTGGGTGTCAAGATACGGAGGGGAAATGGAACACGTGAGAGATAGAATTAGAAAAGCGAGGGTGGCTATGGGATGGGTGTGGAGTTACGGGGAGAGAAAGTTCAAGGGGGACGTAAGATGGAGACTGAAGCTGTTTGACAGTATTGTGAAAGGAATACTTTTGTATGGAGTGGAGATATGGGGTTATAAGGAATGGAAAGAAATAGAGGCTTTACAAGAAAAATATTTGAGATGGAACTAGGGGTGAAGAGATGTACTCCTGGATATATAGTTAGGGAGGAATTGAAAAGGAACAAAATGAGGGTGGAAACGGGGTGGAGAGCGGGAAAGTTTGAAGAGCAAATACAGAAAGGAGAAGGAGGAGAGATAGGGAGAGAAAGTATAGTAGAACGGAGGAAAGAGGAAAGAGAAAAACGAAAGGAAGAATGGACAAGGGAAAGCCTAGAGAGAAGGGAGTACTTATGGAGAGGGGGGGTAAGTGAGGAAGCGCTAAATGAATGGGGAGAGGGAAAATGGGAGCGATTACGAGAAAGAGATATAGAAGTAGATATGCAGCAGAGAGGAGAAGAGGTTAGAACATCAAGGTCGTGTAAAAATTACAGAAATGTAATAGGAATACCAGAATACATCAGAATGAGTAAAAAGAGAGAAGGAAAGAAGATGCAGATGATTGCGAGATGGAGATGTGGTAACGAAGAAAGAGGAAATATGTATTGGATGAATGAAGAAGAGAGAAAATGTAGAGTATGCGGAAAAGAAAGAGAGGATATAAAACACATGAAAGAAGAATGTGTGTTACTTAAAAAGGAAAGATGGAATAGAATAGAGGTGGTGCACGAAGATGGAAGAGGGTATGAATGGATGCAAATGATAGAGGCAGCGCGGAAGAAGAGAGAGGAAGAGAGAGAGAGAGAGAGAGAGTGAGTGAGACCGACATGAGTGAGTGAGAGACATAAAATGTAAATGAGTATGAATGTGAGTATGAATTGGTAGATTTGTAGGCGTAAAGGTAGATGAGGTAAATGTTTAATGTAAAGTAAGCAAGAAATGTATATGTATATTTAAGATGTATTGTATATAATGGAAGTCCGTGTAATCACGTTGGTGAGCACGTAATAAATTACTACTACTACTACTACTATATTGAATATATATAAGTCGACATGTTAGTAATGTAAGTGCTATAAGTATCTATCTCTTTTTGTTAGATACAGCAAAAAGAGCTACATGTATGTGCAATGTCGTATTCATTTAGTGATAATATATTATCCTAATGTGGCATTGGATATTATCTAAAATGGCATTGGACGCAAAAAAAAGTGCTACTACAGCTTTTCATCGATATAACTATTAGTTAAAAATCTGTGTGTTATGTATATTACAGATTTTTAATACTGTTGGTATTGAAACGCGGCCTACATTGCATATGTACATAATACAACTATATTTCTAAGGCCCGATTCCACAAATATAACTTCAATCGGTTTATTTTTCTCTCATTTCTAAAATTGGAAAATTTTTCAAAATAAAATAAATCTTACATTTGTGAGACCGAGTCTAATACATGTTTTCGTCCCTGAGCTAAGATGGTAATGTAGGAAACGTAATAAAAATGTTGATAATTAATTGATTGAATTTCCTGCATGATTTATTAACTCAGAGGGCGTAAGCATCTTATACATTGCAAATGAAATATCGACCTCGATTAAGTTCGACCGTCGCTCCAGCATCCTCTTAATACATCAGAGAATCTATATTTACTGACGTACCAAGGAAACAGTGAAAGTTACAACAATATTATATCAAAGAGGAAAAAAGCTTACTTTAAGCATAACTATATAGAGGTTGATTTGTATGTACATACATTTTACATTTACTAACAAGAAATAAAACCGCAATTTAGTAATAACTGAGCTACTTGTTAAATAGGATTAGACATTTGATCCTTTCACAGTTTTACGACACAGATAACAAGTATTATAAGATAATAATTATAAAAGGAATTAGTCATTATATTTACTTTAAAATAAACATAATAAAAAGTACAGTTCTTCAATGAATTTATCATTGTTCATTACGACATTTATTTATGCAGTACAATGATTATAGGATAAATTTTGAAATAAACATTGACTGTCATTGCTTCTTATATGATTATATGTATACAACGTAATCCACATAGCACAGAAGCTTGCAGCAACATTGATGCAACCTTCGTAAATATGTTACTGCAGTATTGCTGAAACATTCTATTTGTATGAACTATGTAATATAATAAATTCAGTAATATATTGCTATTATCTTATATAATCATAATATATACCTAATTGCGGTTCATAATAATAATGTCTCAAGTTTATTTTATATTATTTATAAAGTTGATTTCAATTTAATTAAAAACTAAAAATTTATATTTGATATATAAAATTTTTTATATTTGAGATTGCTTCTTATTTTTCATATTAAAAATATTTAAAAAAATTGTATATATGTATTAACTGCTGAAATATAGAACAATGAACATAAATAGAAACAAGTTGTCTGTATCACAAATTGTTATTATTAATATCGTCTTTCTAAGATTTTTTAGATAAAGATAAAACTTATCTTAAAGATAAAACTTATCTTAAAGATTGATTATGAAAATGCATACATTAATATGTGTATCGTATATAACCTTTGCTTTAAATGATATAAATACTTGTAATTTGTTCACTTTTTATAGATCTTAAATTAATTTGTGTATTTCGATCGACGATAGTATCAGATAGTTAAGTTCTACAGTGTCTCTTGATGTCAATGGTTTTACAATATTTGACGGAGCATAAGATAATTGTCGGGACAGTGTAGGGACAAATAGAAGGAATTTAATAATCATTTACACTTTTGATAAACAGAAATTAAAGGATTACAGACCACATTCAACAAACTATTGTTCGGTATATAGTAATCTTTATCAGCTTTTCTGTGTTTCCATTATAATTGTATATTGAATTTCACAAAATTATTACCTCTGTCAAAGATAAAGTTCTACAATATTTAATACTTGATATACTCACACAATGATCATAGGGCAAATAAAATAGAGAAATAGAATGCAGAGATAGAAATATCATCCTTTATTGTATATCATGTGACTGTTCACAATATATTAGGCACAGAAAGGAAGAAACAAAGGGAATAATAAATTTTTCAATGAGAGTAGAGAGAATTAAGTATAATTTGTTAATAGGAAAGTTACTAATTCTCTTTTGTATATAAAGGAAGAAGCGATAATGGAAACAGATATTAGTGAAAGCACGAACAATTGAAATATCAATTACATACTGCATTTGTTAAAATATTTCCTTCGAAAATATTACGACAAATTTACAACACAAAAAAATGGATTTTAAAAATGTGAATTTTTTAAATTGTTGGGTAAATATACTCTCGGGAAATTTTTTACCTATAACAATCAGTAATTCGCGATTTTCAGTTTTTTGGCGTACTTATAGCATCATTGTTTGGTTAATACAATTGAGTCACACAATCGCGTTAATTTTCGGGATTATCTTGGCACCGACGGAGAATAGTCTGAAGGACGGCATTCTCTCCGTCGTGGTCACAATAGAGGCATTTTTCATGCTTACGTGTCTTTATACACGTAAGAAGTTGATAAAGGAAATGATCCAGAAGATGAACGATATCTTGCAAAGCACGGATGAAATTATGAAGGATACTGTAAAGTCGGCTATAAATCCTATAATATTGCCATTCGTAATATATGGCGTGACCAGCGTAATATCGGTTACGATATATCACGCCATGCAACCGATTGTATTGGCTTTCGAGAAGTTCACCTTTTTTTATGTAGATTACAATTTGTCAACCGATTTTAGTACTGAACCGTTTTCCAATCGCATTCTGATTTTATCGATTATTTTGAAAACAATTGGCAGCGTTTACTTATTTCTCAAGAAGTTTGGTGTGGATGTGTACATGATGCATTTAGTATTAATGTTAACGGCGCAGTATCGATACGTAGCAATAAAACTCATGATGTTGTTTCGTGATTTACATAACTATAACGACAAATCTCGAAAAGAATATTATCCTATAGAAGATCGATGGACGGAGGGAGAATTAAGAAAATTATGTCTGCACCAGAATACTGTTTTAAAGTAAGTATAATGCGATTATTGAAATAGAATTGAATGATTGGAGAAAAATATATTTGGATTATCAAGCTATTGATATTATTCTTCTAGCTTTAAGCTTAAAAAAATCACTACGAGAAGAAATAAATTATATTCTTATTATAAATATAAAAATCATTATTATTAGATACATATAAATTTTATTATTTCTTGTATAGATGTTTTTGACTGTATTGTTTAATAATAAATATTAGTTTTTTATTTAAATAATTTACGATTTCACAATTTATGATATTTTATGTTGCGTTTTAGCATGTCATTTATATTAAAGAAACTTTTGTCTGTGAACTTCAGTATACTCTACATCAATAATGTATTTCGGTTCTGCTTTATAGGTATCTTATTAAGTGCAGTGAGTAATAATGTTATTATTAATTAAAAAAAAATTATTTTTGTAACTATTATAATATAAATTAATTTTTTATTGCATAAAGTATTTGTTTATGAAATAACTTATTTTAAGAAATTAATGTATATTTAAAGAGTATTTCAAATTTTTTAAAATAAATTTTATAAATTACATAAATTAGAATACGATAAATATAGAATCACGAGGCATTAGGAGTCAGCACTAGTACTAATTTGCGCAAAATATAATAATGATATAGATATAAATAAATTTAATTAATTCTGGATGTTTCGGCCATCTTCAGCAGATAAATATTATATATAAAAAAATTACCACAATGTAATAAATATTGTATATCGCTGATAATAAATCGCAAATTCACATTTCATACTTTTTTCAAATGCAAATCGCATGGGCCATGCAATGAGACGTGATCATTCTAAGTTTTATAAATAGTGTTTGTCAAAAAGTGATTGTAGTATAAATAAATTGAATCAATTTATTAAAGTTTATAAAGATTCGGTCAAAAATATGTCTAAGAAGAATGTAGTAAATAAGATAAATTGTAATGATTGCACTGCAATCCTATGTTGACCAAATTAATAGAAAATTGAAAACTATTATAGATTGGCTGAACACTACAACCATATACGCAAAAAAATTACCACACGTTCGATAATTACAGATCACAGATTGCATGCAATCACAATTTCGATTGGAAGAATGTAAAAATTTTGATCGTGGAAAGGTTTTACAATTAACGACTTATGTCGGAGATACTCCACATTAATTGCCAACCTGAAGAATTAAATTTAAAAGTTGACTCCTAATGCCTTAATTCTACAATATATTTATCGTATTCTATGAATTAAAGGAGTCCCTAAAATAGTTATTTCTTAAAATAATTATTTCTAATTTTTATTGTTATATAAATTAGAGAGATTTCTATTCAAAATTTAAATTAAAAAATTTTTTAATTGGGAAAATAGAAATGTAACTTTTACTTTTAAAGATATTCTCTGTTTGAAATTTTCTAATAAGTGTTGTATATATTTTCAGATACCATCAATGACTTTTGTAGAAGGAATTTCAGTCACTTTATTTGCAATTGGTTCACTAACGCAATTTTTTTTGTTATGTTCTTCCGTACAATCATTATCAGACGCAGTAAGATTTATTACTTTATATTATACAAGGAGCTTCTGGATTAAATGGCCAAACTCTAAATATGAATTTAGGATCTTAAAACAAACAAAATTTTCCTGTGAAAGTATGCTCGCAAATGCTTTATTCAAGAGATATTGGTTTCTTACAGAACAGTTACAGAACTGTAGGAATGAATAATGTCGAAATAATGTCAAAATAAGGTCTATCTCCTTTATTGCTTCACATTAAAATTTAATTATTAAATGTTTTATATAAAGATTATGCGTTTTGCGGGTTTCCTCCGTGACCAGATTCATTCTTGGAATGCCAACGTTTCGTGGACCTTGCAGTCCACTTCATCACCGAGGAACAGCCTGATACGCAGGTGAGCAGTGGATCTGGACACGAAAGAAATCCGCGAAACGCATAATCTTTATGTAGAAAGCATCTGTGAAAGCCTTAAAAATATTATTAAATGTTTAAAATGAAAATGTTAGGAATAATGGGCAATATTTTAATTGGACTCCGTTTTTTATCAGCTCGCTTAAATGCGAATGGATTTCTCCCATTTTTGAACAATAAATTTTATGACTTTTTGGAAAATATTCCTTTGAAAAAACTTCTTGTTGAGAGTGAACTTCTGATTTCAAGTCGATGGCTGTTCTGCTTACTATGGCAGAAGTGATCCTCGACAATGGCTTAATATTCCTAGAAAATGGATCGATCGTGTTGGATTTGTGGCTTGATCTCCGCGTTCACCAGATTTAAGAGGATGCTGGAATAGTCCTGTTTTACCAATAAAGTGTAATAATTTTCATTTGCACGTTTCTCTTAATTGCACTTATGGATTGAAAAGTCCTTCTCCATAATAAAGTATCAACAACAATACAGGGCGTCAGCTACAATTTAATACAAAAAACAAAAAAAATGGTTTTTGCCACCAACTTCTGCAGTCGACTCATTACAGTATCTGCTGTATATAAATATTTCTACAAGCTTAGTATTGTTCCATGAGGTTTTCTGTATGGCTCCAGCTACTTATTTCAAACGTACAAAGTCTGAAATTGTTATATGCACATTTTTTATTTGGCTCGGATGTCGAAGTGTCAAACAGCACTTACAAGATTAGTAGGAAGCGTCATTCCTCTCATCGCACGCGCGCAAATATATAAATAGATTGAATCATTATGAAGACCAGTAATATAGTATATTATCAATTGAAAACGTCATAATAACATATTTTTCTATATATAAAAAAATATATATTGAAATAGAATCGTTGCTTAGAAAAGAAGTCGTGTATCCTTGCTGCATCGGCGATGATGGTAAACCAGAATTGATAGAACATATTCTTGAATTGCAGAACGAATTATCGAAACAGAAGTACGACAGAGCAAGACAGAGAAAAATAAAAAAGGATAGAAGGTCCGATTGTAATCGGTGAAGCTCCGCACACCGAGCTGAGCTTATCGAATGAAACAGCGAGTCTATCTTTCAGAGTCTATCTTTTTCTCTATGGTCGCTTATTTCTAGCGTCCGAAAATGTTTTCTCGGCAATTTCGGCCGCTCAACGCCCATATACGAGGTCTGTTCAAAAAGTATCGCGAATTTTGTGTTTTTTCAAAAATTATTTATTTATTCATGAATATCTATTTTGTCCCCTTCAAAGTAATCCCCATCAGATATTATACACTTGTGCCAACGTTTTTTCCAATCCTCGAAGCACTTCAAAAAATTATTTTTTGTGATCTTGTTCAGCTCCTCCTTCGATGCCGTCTTTATCTCCTCAATCGTAGCGTAGCGTCGTCCTTTCATGGGCCTCTTCAGTTTCGGGAACAAGAAAAAGTCACAGGGGGCCAGATCTGGGGAATACGGTGGCTGCGGCATCATTAGTGTGTTGTTTTTGGTCAAAAATTCGCGCACAAGCAACGATGTGTGAGCAGGGGCGTTATCATGGTGCAAAAGCCAATTTTTGTTCTTCCACAAATCCGGGCGTTTCTGGCGGATTGCTTCGCGCAAATTGCGCATAACTTGCAGGTAATATTCCTTATTGACCGTTCTACCCTGTGGCAAGAACTCATGATGCACCACGCCCCTGCAATCGAAGAAAACTGTAAGCAAAACCTTCACATTCGACCGAACTTGGCGCGCTTTTTTCGGTCTTGGCTCGTGCGGCAGCTTCCATTGGGATGATTGAGCTTTGGTTTCCACGTCATAACCATAAACCCATGATTCGTCACCAGTTATGACCCTCTGGAGCAAATTTGGGTCGTCGCGGACAGAGTCCAACAGCTCCTTAGCAATGTTAATGCGATGCTGTTTTTGGTCGAAATTGAGCAATTTTGGTACGAATTTCGCGGCGACCCGTCTCATGCCCAAATCATTGGTAAAAATCGAATGGCACGAGCCAATCGATATGTTTAGGTCCTCAGCAACCTCTCTAACGGTGATTCGACGATTGGCCAATACTATTTTCTTCACTTCATCAATGTTTTCGTCTGTTGTTGACGTGCTCGGGCGTCCGGCACGCTCTTCGTCGTTCACATCTTCTCGGCCCTCTGAGAACATTTTGTACCACCGATAAACGTTGCTTCGGTCCAAGGTAGCTTCACCATATGCCACAGTCAACATTCGGAATGCGTCCGTGCACTTAATTTTGTTTTTCACACAAAATTTGATACAGATTCTTTGATCCATTTTTTGGAATAGGCAAAAATCGAAGACGAGCCAAAACACGTGCGAGCAAAGCAGCTGTCAAAAATTAACTGAACATTCAAAATGGCCGAACTTGTCGGCATAAGTGAGAGACATGAGTATCAACATAACGCCACAAAAAATCGAAAATCGAATATACGTAACCCGCGGAAATTCAAAATTCGCGATACTTTTTGAACAGACCTCGTATAAATAAGGGGAAGAGGGACATTACAGATAATGTATAAGTTTTAATAAATTATACTAATCGTATATTCCTCCAATTTATGTATAATACAATAGCAAAAATAATTTCAAAACACGATAATTTACAAAACATTTCTATGATTTTCCATGAGGGTTACATATGTTATTACGTTTATAGAAGTGGATTGCAAGAACTCGGCGTGGTCTTGCACGTAGAATGCAAGATCAGAATGTTATTATAGAAATTTCACGATCGATTCCTTTTTTCTTTTGCATTTTTTTTCTAAAATAAATGACATTATTAATAAACATATATTAAAGACTAAATATATTTTTATTTTTTAGTATTGAAATTATACATGTATTTCTAAAAGTTTTAAATCGATAATTGTAGCAAAAATAGTTCGATATAGTATGCGTCGGATAGATAGAAAATCAGTATTTTTATATGTAAATAAAATCTGTTTATCTTTAAAAAAAATCCGAAAAGAAATCATGTTTTTGTAATAATGTTACGTTTGGTGTTGATTATTACTTTCTGTGAAATGTTTCTTTTATAACTATCATGCGAATGTATGAAAATTCTGATAATTAACCAAATTGCGATGATTAATATAATTATAAGGTTGATGTCAATATAATTTGATAGTTTACAAATTAAAAAGTCTTTATATGTTGTACAATATAGAAATAATTTTATCTATTAAAGTGATTCAGTATTCTTCTACAGTTGTTGATTTAAATTTTTCTGTGCTTGGAAATACTTGCACATTTTGGGCTGACTTTTGAAGCATCGCTTTTTTTTCCCCCGCCGCCTATTACCGCCCAACGTTCGACGGCCGAGCTGCCGGATCGTGCGCGGACGTGTATATCTCAAGAGCATCGCACTATAAGAAATATGCTGGGACCCTGCTTTCTAGCAAATAATCATTACTTTCCTATATAATTGTAATTTTCTTTTTCTTAATTAAATCAAACTTTCTACTATTAATATATATGTATATATATATATACGTTATTAATATATATGTATATATATATATATGTATATATATATGTATACACACACACACACACGCACACACACACACACACACACACACACACACACACGCGCGCGCGCGCGCACACTCACACACACACTATATTATAAACAGGGTATTAGTTAAGTATATTGCCATACTCAACAGAGCGATTCTTTGGTTTATTTCAAATAAAAAAATCCATATAAACATATGTCCTAAACGGTTTTTAGTTTCCGAAATACAGGTGAATGTTCGCAAATGTTTGACGAAACGGTAAATTGCGTTGGAGATATCTTCCTGCATAAATAAAAAAAATGCCTTGCTTCACGTGAGTTACAACCATTCGCACAACCGTAAACAAAGTTACAAAGTCAAAGTCAAAATCAGAAAATTAAAAATAGACTTCAGTTCTGATGTTGCTGCGGGTCAGTTAGCTTGTACATACGTTTTTGGGCTAAATTGTTTCAGTCCATCAAAATCGGTTTCATCATGCCTAAGTTTACAAATTTTGAAATGGTAGATATGCACTTTGCCTACAAGTCTTGCAAATGGTAACTTCCTCACGTGAGGCAATGTATTTATGCAGAAAGATATCCCCAATACAATTTACCGTAAAACATTTGCATATATTCGCCGTTATCTTCGAGAAAAGGGTTCTTTCGTAAGGTGTATTGTTGATCTTGGAGAGCTTATAACAGTTAGAATACTAGTACTAGAGCAAGTTGTTCTTAACAAATCGACGCACATCCAGAAATGAGCACAAGGAAAATAGCTAGGACATTAAATGTGAGTAATTATGTCATCTGGAGAATTTTAAAAGACCAACAGTTATATTCTTATCACATTCAACATGCACAGAGATTTTTACCATGTAATTTTCCACAAAGACTAACTTTTTGTCAATGGATTTTTCAGAGACTAGAAGAAAATCCTCAATTCTTATCTCAAGTTTTCTTCATCGACGAAGCTAACTTCTCCAAAAATGCAATTATTAATGTTCATAATAACCATTTATGATGTAAAAATACACGCGATAGTCGAATCTAGATCTCTTCCAACAACAATTTTCATTGAATATATGGGTTGGTATTGTTGTTAACTTCTTAATGAGGCCCTATTTTGTTCTATTAAGACTTGATGGTGCATCATATCGGCAATTTATTGAAGAAGATCTATTTCAACTTTTACAAGAAGTGTCACTCATGATGAGACATACAATGTGGTTCATGGCGCTCCAGCCCACTTCAGTTCGTCAATATTTGGATAGGGTATATAATAATCGCTGGATAAGTCG